AAAACGGATTAGGGTTCTATTTTTCATTAAGACGCGATAACAAAGAATCCACTAATTAATATTATAATTAGATCGATGTTATTATATTCATATTACGTAATGAATATGTTATTTCAATTACAAATACTTCACTAATTTTCTTCGGGACATTTTAGAAAATTTTTCGACCGAAGCTATTTAGTGAAGTCAACCATAAGTCAGACATTGAAATTTGTTCGAGCGTCTGAGAAACTATTGACTCACACTATTAATTATCTTCGGAAATTTTTCGAAAATTTTCCCGATTGGAGCGAGTAGTACTAGTCAACCATTTCGCAATTAAATTTTCGCAATCTAAGTAGTGTACGTCAACCATTTTTCAGAAGCTCGAAATTTTTCGCAAGCAGTAAACTATTTTCACGGAAGTTTCTAAGTTTTTCCCTCGAATTCCGCGATTTTTTCGATTTCTATGCGTTCTTAACGCTATTTGGACTTAGTTTATTCAATTTTTTAATGGAATTTATTTAAAGAATGAGTGTTTCGTAAAAGGAAATGGATTTGGTGTATAAGGGAGGTTTAAATAGACTGTGAAATGCTGTAAAAACAATACTGGTACATTGTAACCTTTTGCACAGTTACCTTACAATGAATAATTGATTTTTTGATAAATTGTGACCTGAAAGTTCCTTCTGTAATTCGCACAAAAGGAACATTAATATATTTCAATTTTTTATAAAAGTTATGAACAATTTCTAAGTAATCTACTACATGCAATTATTAATTCAATGCGATATTAATAAATTAAGCTGTTTTATTTAGTTCCATTATGCAACAAATTTATTTAACACTTCCAATAGGTATAAACGTCTATCAAAATTGTTATTTAACAAGAAACATTAATTGTTCTATAATTAAAATACTTTATTTTATATTATTAGTATCAATTTTAAACTACTTACTATATGCAATTATGCTCTAATTTACAGTAACTATTATTGAAAGTGGAAAATTCGAAGAATTTCTATTTTAAAAATCAACTAACCTGATAATACTTTATTTCTAACGATGCTTTCAGTGACACTCTGTCGTATCTTGTGATTATCAACGAAACAGTAAGAGTAAGTGCGATAGCCTTATTCCACAAATATTGGCTGAGACGTCTCTTATTCTATAACTATTGGCCGAAGCTTCAAGTTTGCCTCAAGCGAATGTCACTATCTTCTACTTTGCGACTTGTACGAAGTAAGTCGTTAGTTTTGATGATCACCGTACCTCCTGTGTCTTGACATACCCTGTATTCGTTGGTGTAAGGAGGTTTGCTCGGTTGCAGGGATATTTTCAAACGTTAACAACTAAACAACAAAGCCTCAAACGTAATTATTTTATACTTCATTTTCGTCTTATATCAGCTTCTAAAATTACCCCTTAAATTTTCTATCAGCAGTTGCCGCATACCTTGTATATTGTTTTACCAGCTCGCACAGCACGCTTGTGTATTACCTTGCAGCGGGCAGAATGTAATTTTTTTAATATAAAGGAACGAAAGTAAGGAATTGAAAAACAAAAGATAAAAAAGGGGAGAGAAATGTACCTTGATTTTTAATAATATTTTCTCAAGAAGACAAATGCCCCGTTCATTATGTATAAATAACAAGAGACACATTAAATCAATTGTCTCTGAATAGGCTGAGGAGGTTTCCTTAATTCTTCAACAAGATTACCAGATTTGACGCTTCTTGATTTCTTCTTTTTTGGAACTATTTGAAGGATAAAGTGTACACGGAAGCTTCGACCACAGTAATCAATGTGAATGGCTTTATAATAATAACAGATACATTAAATGGAACACTTTCAGTAAATAAAGTTAATATTGATAAGAAAATGACGGTTATTTATTTTCATTATTATTTTGTACTTCGTGCAAAGAATTATTAGAGTCAGATCACGGAAACCTACGACGACAGTACTTAAAAAAAAAAAAATAGGTACTATAATTTTACTATAACGCAAACATATGCTTTCATTTGAAAAAGCAAACTTTCTGACTTTTAAATCTTCGACATCCCCATCTAAAAATATTTCGATCGATCCATTTTATGGTTTCTTTATAGTCATGTAACATTTGTTTACATTTTTCTAATAATTCTAAGTGCTCCAAAGAAATACTTTGAATCACTTCGAATATGTGGCGAAAAATTCGAATCACTTTCGATAATGATTCGATACTTAAAGCTTTCAAAAGACTTGATAAGTCTTGAACTTTGAGTCTTGATAGAACTTGAGTATTTAAAGCTTCGATACATCTTAAGAGTCTTGAAAGTTTTGATAAGACTTGATAGCTTGGTGAGTATTCACTATTTTGCAAGCATTTTGAATACACTTGTCCTAGCAGTATCATTGACAATAAAATATCAAAGATACTGAATACATTCCATGCTTTCAAGACTTATCAAGACTTCCAAGACTTTCAAAACCTATCGGAACTTTAAAGATTCAAGATCTATCAAGACTTAAGGTTCAAGATCTATCAAGACTCAAGCTTCAAGACTTTCAAGAATTTCAAGTATTGAACTATATAGTCTAGGGTGCCCGCGATCGATTCCTGGCTGCTCAGGAGGGTAAATCGAATGGACGTGAAAAATGATGTGCTCGTAAATTGCTTTAAGATCCTGTACGAGAGGTAGGTAAGAATGATGAATGGTACCGTTTTAAAACTTCGATATTATTATTTCTGTGTGTCCTGTTTGCTGGTTAATCGGTGGAGGGTTCTAAGAATTCGATTGGTAACTTTATTTGAGAGAAGAGAACACACTTTGGGAGGTTTCAATTGTATCGTAAGTATATTTCATTTCGAATGGGATGAAACTTCTACTTAGTACAAAACTTACAATATTTCAATAAGGAACACGGTTAATGCATATATTTTCCATACAGATGCTTTCGTACAAGCTGCATTATCCGTAGATGAATAAGTAGAAAATGTGGCTTAGCACTTATTCAATTGAACACAAGTGTACAAGTAAATGTTTGTGGCAATGTTTTGCGTACAAAGCACAGTATATAACAATGTTTTGCATGCCGTACAGCGTTACAAACGAAAATACGCACGTTTCACAAAGTTGCAAACGTGTGATCGCGCTTGCAACTTTGTTGCCGCGAGTCGCTCCCGAAAATTGCACATTGTTGCAAACGCGTTATCGGGTTTGCAACTTTGTTGTCGCGAAAATTGCACATTGTTGCACGACGCCCCGTTTTGCAACATTGTGCATTTTTCGGGAGCGACTCACGACAACAAAGTTGCAAGCGCGATTCTCCTTTTTGCAACTTTGTTGCCGGAAGGCGTTCCCGAAAATTGCACATTGTTGCACGACGCCCCGTTTTGCAACATTGTGCATTTTTCGGGAGCGACTCTCGACAACAAAGTTGCAAGCACGATCTCTCTTTTTGCAACTTTGTTGCAACGAGGCGCTTCGGAAAAAAGCACATTGTTGCAAAACGGGGCGTCGTGCAACAATGTGCAATTTTCGGGACAACAAAGTTGCAAACCAGATAACGCGTTTGCAACATTGTGCGTTTTTCGCGAGCGGCTTCCGGCAACAAAGTTGCAAAAAGGAGAATCGCGTTTGCAACTTTGTTGCCTAGAGTCGCTCGCGAAAAAGCACATTGTTGCAAAACGGGGCGTCGTGCAACAATGTGCAATTTTCGGGACAACAAAGTTGCAAACCAGATAACGCGTTTGCAACATTGTGCGTTTTTCGCGAGCGGCTTCCGGCAACAAAGTTGCAAAAAGGAGAATCGCGTCTGCAACTTTGTTGTCGAAAGTCGCTCGCGAAAAAAGCACATTGTTGCAAAACGGGGCGTCGTGCAACAATGTGCAATTTTCGCGACAACAAAGTTGCAAACCCGATAACGCGTTTTGCAACAATGTGCAATTTTCGGGAGCGACTCGCGGCAACAAAGTTGCAAAATGGTGCTCCGTGGAACAATGTGCGTTTTTCGAGGACGATTCGCGTCAACAATGTTGCAGACTCGATTACACGTTTGCTACAATGTGCATTCGAAAATAATACGAGTTGGTGATGTTACAAGCGAGAATGACGCTTGTAACAATGTTACATTCAAGCGTAGTGCTTGTAATAATGTTTGCGTTCGATATAACGGTTCTAATAATGTTTTAATCAGAAATTGAGATTCCAACAATGTTTGCGTTCAAATATAACGCTTTAAGCAATGTTGCTTTCAAAAGTAACGCGTGCAACAATGTTTTGCATTCGAAATAGTGCTTCAATCGATGTTGCATTCGAGAATGGAAACTGCAACAATGTGTGCATTCAAGTTTCAAAAATGAATAGTATAGATAAAAGTATCTTGCTACTTAAAAATCACCGTTCAACGATATAAAAGTTCTTTTTCTGCTACCTGCAACCGTGTCCCACACCTCGATCAATTTGCAACCTCAACTCAAACGGGAACAAAGGCTTCGCGCCTCTATGTAGTTTCGATATAATTCGAATTTTCACAGAAATGGAAAACTACGAATTACTTGTAAATTTAGTATGTAAACCACTCGTACTTTACCGGTCTAATAAACGAGTGCGCTAAACTTGTAAGGGGTGACATTGAGTATATTTTATACTTCCTTCTTTTTTGTAGTATCCTTATAACTTTAAATAGTATTATTTTATTACTAATTATTGTCAATAAGTGGCTACTTATAATCTTTTTTCAGACGTCTATTTGTAGAATAATACGTAATGCATTAATATAATATAAAAATATATTTGGATCAAATACATGTACATATCTACTTACAATGGCATTAGACACTTGTGTTAAATTAAAGTATTAAGTTGGTGCATATGAAATTACCTATTGTAGATAGTGTAAAAATTGCTTCGTGGTGGGGATACAGTAACAATGACTCTTGTTGCGCTTGAAAGAATGACAAAGGAGGACAATTATTCTTTAGAAAATATTGTAGTACGAAATTGTGTATTTTTGACGAAATGGATAATTATATCTTGTGAGTTCAAGGATGAACTTTTAGTGCAGCTGAGAAAACAGGACGAATAAATGATCGATTATGGAAAAGAATCGTCTCTGAAAGGACTGTCAGAAATTGGTTTAAAAAGTTTCGTCCTGGCTTCAAAAATTTTGGAAATGAAAAACACGGTTCGTCGAATTTCTTATTGAATTCTAACGTTCTGATGTCTAATGATCACCAAACGATTCAAAAAATGTCACCGAACCTTAAAATTCGTCAATTCGTCATTTTCTCGTTAAATAAAATAGTGAAAAAGCAAAAAGGTATTTTCACTCGAAGTTCTCTACGCAAAACAGTAGATTTCAGATGCACCACCCTAATACGTTCGAAAATACTGAAAAATGGTAACTTGTAAATAATTTTCGAACTTCGCGATTTGTTTAACATATCTTAAACGAATGATCATCCTAACATTTCTGTCAATATTTTATTACATTTCCGTGTGATTCGTTTGCTCGATGGGATAAAGTTGAATACGTTTAAAATGGAACTTCCTTTAACGGAAATTCTAGCAGCTTTTAATTAATTTTTTTTGTTTTAATTAAACCGCGTAATAAATATTGAGAGAATGAGAAGGAATGACGAGAGCACTAACGAGCTTGCGCTGTTGAATTCACTCTCATGTGCGACCAACCAATCCTCAACGGTCTTCCTGTGGCTATCAATCCATTCTATATTTCTCATTGCCCTCAGTAAGCTACTGTGAAGGAGTTCTGGTTTCACATGTTCGCTCAGGACAAAGAAGCTCAGCTAAAATGAAAAAAAAATGTTTTATTGCTCGAGCAATTTTCAAAGTATTCCTTTTTTATTCCTTCTTTGCACAAAAGGAATGAACTGTGCACAGATGAGAAGGTGGTTGCTGACGACACAGGGTCAAGTGGTGTATAGTTGATGGAAGAAATATAGCGAGGTTGTAAAATCGATCAAGCGATAAAGTTTACAGATTAGAGTATATTAATAAGAGAATCGAATATACATACGCTGCTTGCCAAAAACAAATCTTAAATTTGCATATACTGTTGTGGGACATTGCAAGAGAAAAATGATTAAAATTGAAGTTAAAAAGGATCATTTTTCCTAGGCGTTTTCTCCTTGATTTTCTAGGACCCTAATTTCTAGGTGTTGCAACTTTTTTGGCAAGCAGTGTGGATAAAATTCATGGAAAAATTGTGAAATATACGTAGCTTACGAAATCCAAAGTTTTTTCACTGCGTAGCAAGTGGAAAAGAAACAGTGATAATTAGTAAATAATTATCCACGCTTTCTTTTCGTTTACTTTTCACCCTCACCAATGAAACATCACAGTAATCAGCACATTTTAAAAAGAACAATAGCTTAGTTATAATGTTACCGTACCTGCGTGTGCTGTTCCTTAGTCGTGATCGCGTTTCCAATGGTTTCTATCACGGATTTGATCACACTGTCTTTGTTATCTCTGAAACCACGAAAATCACGGAAGTTACGGCGATTTGTTTCCTTACGTATAAATCAGTTCTCGACAGTATGATTAATTACAGTTTGCTTATCTGCTCCTTTACACTGGTCAAGACATTCAGGACATGGTCAACTTCTTCCGGATGTTCGGACACTACGGCTTGGACTGCGGCATCGAAGCTCACTGGAGATTCCTTTTCAAGGGACCATAGTAGGTATTGTTTCAGTCGATCTTGCGAATCGGTACAAGTTAAGGTGGAGAATGCACTCTTGTTGTCGTCTTCTTCGTTTATGGTTTTCTTCAGCTCTTCAAAAGCTTTATTCCACGTGGCGTTGTCCGCAGCGTTTAGTCCAGCGCAGAGAATATTGTTCTTCAAGTTAACGTCAAGTCTGTAAAAACATTATAATAATCTTCTTATCGGAAAATCCGTTTGTCGATCGTTTCACGCTACACGGTTGGCTTTATTCGTTTGTCGAGAGAATAGTGTTTAAATTAGAGCTCTTACTACTTAAAAGAAGAAACAAAGGGAAACTAAAGAAGAAGTAAAGGTTGAAAAGTGACTTACGTTTTGTTGGAAAGTTTAACCCAATCTTTGAATTCAGATGTAGCGTAATCTGTGCATTTTGTAACGCCAGCTCTGCAGGCCCATTTCATTGCGTTTGTTCTAAGGAGTATAGTAACGTCAGTGTCGTTGTTTGTATAGCTGCAACATTATGAAAACAATTGTTACCTTTCTTTCCTACTTTAAACGAATTACCAAATAATAAGTATTACAACGTAAGTACAACGACCAACTTAACCCTCCGTAGGCAATCTGGATTTTTGACGATTCAAGTGAAATTTCACTCTCGTATTTCTTCGAATCGAATTTGCATTTTTATCGAAAAACGTTTGAAACATTTGACTTAACGAACAATTGTATAATGTCGTAGAGACTTCGACGAGTACTGCAGAATTTTTGCGGATTTTTTGAGAGCTTGAAATAGTAAAAAAATTAGACTTGGACACAAACGACCGAGTTGGCCCGCTGTATGTGAAAAAATATGTTTGCCTGCGGAGGGTTAATTATTAAAATTCTTAACTATGCGCCTGAAATTTAACGCAACGGATTGTTGTTAAATACGGATTCTTATTACGTTATTCTAGGTTCAAAATTAATTGGTTAAGGTATAAAAAGGTGAACATATCTCTCATATTTTTCAACATTTCTAGTTCTATCGTTCATTTCCAGATAGCACAAGACGTCTTACGACCTGATCTGGACATCTAGGAGACGTACAAATCGGTACGGTTTAGCAACGTATAAAAATTACATCCTTAAGACATTTTTAAGACGTTTCTAAAGCTAGCACATAGTACTTAGCAACATCGAGTTTCAAAGACATCTTGATGTTGTTCAGACGTCTTTTGGACATCTTCAAGCTTTTACTCGACATCTTTAAGACTTTAAGACTAGGTTGTAAAGCAAAGGAATGCAAATCTGCAGATCTACTCTCTACACATAGTAAGAAACGTATCAAGCAATGATCAAACAAAGATAAGAAAATAGGTTACTTGCATCGTTATTCAGCAGTCGGGGAAGGGATGGTCGTAAAATTATATGTACTTGTGACAGCTATTATGGAACTATGTTGTAGCCAAAAAGTTATTTTTAATTTTTGCTTTCATACCAACAGACTGCCTTTTCCTTTTTTTTTTTTAATACTGATCTTTTTTATCATACGAAACATTTCATATAAAGAAGACGTCTTATTTTTCATTGGTTTAAGGAATTAGCCCATCCTGAGGTTTGATAGTTTATACTTTTAAAAATATAATCTAAATAGTTTGAATGAAAAACGTCGCTGGTTTTATGTGTTAGAGACAATTTAACGAACCGCGTCATCCCGTTGTCAATCGGTAATCGAAACTTTAAACGCGTTTTTCTCAGAATGACACTTTTAAAGACGGTGTTATCCGTAACTTCTACAATTTTCACCCGATTCACTTGAAATATCCACAAAATACTCTCTGCTTCACAATCTAAAGTAGTACATAGGAATTTTGGGAAAACTTTTCCCGCAATTAATATTTTTACACTAAAATTTTAGGGTAAAAATACGATTCCTTCTTCGTGTGTTCACCATTTCTATAAAACTCGATATTTCTAAAAACTCCTATGTACTTCTTTAGCAATTGGCATGCAAATGACGAAAATTCTGTGAAAGAAATTAAATGAAAAGACACTTTTGTGTTCTTTAAGGGTAATATAACAAAGCCCTTACGAAAAGTTTTCGATTGAGTCAATTATTGTCTAAAAAAAAAAAGCTAAAGTTAGGTATCATTTTCAGGCCTCAGGAGTGATCTAACACCTTAAGAATAAATTTCTCCCGTGTGTATTCTTATTGCTATCTACTGTACAAATATATACCTTGAAGAAGCTGTATTTGTTGGAAGTGCGCATCATATTCTGCAGGAAGTTCAAATTCCTGAAGGCTGCTTGCCATGGAACGTAGTTTGTTTCATTTTTGAGATAAAGCGAGAGAGACAATGCGACAGTGTAATTCAGTCGGTTGGAGCGAGCCATGTTTAGGGCATCGTCGATTAACTGGGCACGATTTATCACGTCTACATTGTTATAATCGGGCGACCTCAGGTACTTCGTCAACGATACCCAATTTTCTTCGTCATAATTCACGCGATAGTAACCTGAAACAGTGATCGTTCTTGCAAAATCAAAACAATTCTTCATCTGTTCTTTTCTTCTTTTAAATTCAGGCTACATTGACCATAATTTGTTCGGGAACATTGATCTAAATTATTTCGTAACATTTTTACTTTCTGAAAATTGGAGAAGAAAGCTGAAAGTTACATTTACATGTCTTCTCGAAAAAATTGAAGCTTTTGGTTTAGTAGTAGTAGTAGTTACTTATAAAACAAATTTCCAAACTTTATCTTATTTCGAGACGCTTAAGGATGGTGTATCCCCTCAACGAAAAACGAACTTGTAAGACATACCTACGTTTATACGATCTTTTCTTACAATTAGTATTTTAAAATAACGAGTCTGCTCTTGAAACTGTTCCCGCACATTGCGAAACATTTTATACATGTTACGTTACGTACCTGCTTGCTGGACGTTGACAATAATCCATTTGTCTTTTTCCTTCTCATCAATTGTCAAATTTTTATTTGGCTGCAACCAGTGGGTAGGCGTTGTGGAGAAATTCCTGGGATTAGCTTGCTTGACGAAAGTGATAGGCACCCACCATTTTGTATCATCTTTATTTCCGTACAGAGAGAATCGTTCTTGAGTGATCTCGTACTTTTCACCGTTATTCCTTACATTAACCACTGGATATCCTGGTTTATTCACCCACTCGTCCATAAGTACATCAAACGTAACTCCGTTTTCCCAGGTTCCTTTTGCAACCGCTCCAAGTGCCTTGAAAAGGTCTGCCGAGTCCGCAGCGGAATATATACTGCAATATATTGCTAAGGTTACTGCACGACAGTGTGATATGTCGGTTTAAACGAAGGTAAAAAAAAAACAACGAAACTGATAAAATCAACGTCTTTCGATTTACAAAAATGATGAGAAACTCAAGGAAGCTTATTTTGAACTGTTCCTTCAATGCGAAGATGAGTGTTTATATTTTCAGCCTAAAAAGCTAGTGAATTTATATCCATACTACACTTTTCTTATCACTACGTTGAGTACAATGTATTCCTGACGTATGGTCCTTTACTTTAGATCCCCATATAACTAATGCAGAAGTAAATAAAAATTTCAACACGAATTAAATGGACCAATGGAGTAAGAGGGTATTGGTGTTCTTCAAAAGTGTATAGTCGGTGGAACCGATATAGCGAGGTTGTAAAATCAGCGAAGCCTCGAACTATACGTAATTCGAACGCCAAAACAGCAATCCGAGGGAGATAAGAAGTTAGAGCTTCTTGATGTCCACTCAGAATTGTTTCTTCCATTGTAGTACATTAGAAAAATTTTTGTACGCCTTAATCGTTGGCAGTTGCAGGATAATTTTGATCAAAACGGAAAATACTATTGCGCAGGAAGCGACGGAGATTCGATACTGTACATCTTAAATGAGAGATTCTAAGCAGAAATTTTAACTATCAATTTACAAATAACGCAACCTAAGTGCGGCTACATCAACAAGTGTCGCTGCTTAATGCTTTAATTTACGACTTCGCTATGTCGCTTCCATCAACTGTACCTAATTGCTCCTGCACGTTTCATTCCTTTCCCTAACGTGAAACAAGTGAAAATCTAATTGGGGTTAGGGGGATAAACATTCGATTTCCTCTTCTATAACTGAAGCATATGGAATATTACTTTCCAGAAAAGTATATATTAACGAAAAAGTAAGGAAAAATGATTACTGACATTAAGAATCTATTCTTTAAACGTGTCCAAATATTCAAACACCTGCTTTGCACCGTATAATATTTGAAACATTAACTACATATCCTGATACCGAAGGGAAATATTTCACGTGGAAATTGTGAGTATACTTACTTGTCCGAGATATATTTTCTTAAACCTTCCTTAAACACGTCTTCTGTCAAAATGCTTGACATCATACGAATAACCGCTCCAGCTGTGAAAAATATTTCTGTATAATTTTTTATTGTCGTTTAGAACAGTACTTAAGTCGTGACCACTAGCATTGACCAACTTGACGAACGAATTTTCAACGGAAAAATATTCCAACTGCAATTTTAGACCTTTTATAAAAGTATGAAATATTTAACAAAATAGATTATTTTGTGAAACATGTTGTTTCTTTAATTATACAATATTCAGCAAATAGTAAATTTTTAAGTGCATCCTTTTTTTCGAAATTCAACTTTCTTCTTATAATTACAAAGTTACTTACAAAAGGCTGATCGCAGATTAAGTTTTCAAAGGAATTACTTGAATTTTCAAGTGGGAAAGTAATGCTTATTACCATAACAAATTGCATTTTATATGTCTCTTACGACTTCTTCTTTTATCGATACAATTTACTCCTTACGGTATAATTAATTTTTTAATATGCATTTAAAAATTTTAGTGTGTCATTTCCTCAAAAATTGAAATGTGCAATTAATTTAATATTTCGTCTTTGAAAAATATTTTTCACATAATTGATGAATAAAGTCGTAATTAGATGTCCGTGAAGAAATTCTACTTCTCCAGTAAAAATTCAATTTTGACCCAAGGCAAATGCATTGCGTACATTCTATTCAATCTAGGTGCACTCACAAATTATTATCATGGCTTAAAACACACGTTTGTTTCCCATCTTCACTATTATCCCTTCCTCAAAACTTCACGATTTTCATGAAATTTTCATTATAATATGACATTCCATGTCATTAAACAATTTGTACGATTTCCTCGTGGATCATTTCAAAATGAATCATCGCAATGTAACGCGGGAACGAAAAATTTGAATATCGTTAAAATTAAATTCTATATTTTGTGAAAATGAAAAATGACAAATTTATGTGAAATCATTTCCTCAAAAATTGAAACATACAATTAATGTGATATTCGCTACTTTGTTTTTTCTCATATTTCGTCTTTGCAAAATGTTTTCCACATAATCGACGAATAGTCTTAATTAGATGTCCGTAAAGAAAATCCTACTTTGAGTGAACCGGGAGCTGTTTAACTTGTTATCCAATCCTCGTTTCAAGCTTCATTTTTCACAAAAGTTCTTATCTACATCATTGGCTAGATTTTTTAGAAACACTATCGATAGAACTACAACGCACTCTACAAGTGCGGTGAATTGCAAATAGCTTCGTTCGATAATGACTCTTGACTTTTTCATCATCGAGAGAATCTTACATTTTATCTTTGGTTTGATAATACTTAAATTGGCGGTTTAACGTATTAATTGGTTGATAAGATAAATACGTGTAAGTTGGTATCTTGTATTGTAGGCATCAAATAATAAATAGGGATGATCGAAAACCTAATAACGTATTTATTCATATTTTCTTATCCGCTGTTAGAAATAACCGCGCTCAGTTTTTCTAATTAAAATCTAGGAAGATGTGTTCTCAATAAAAGTTACCACTTAAATATGGTTACGTGTTTTGATAAATGATTAAACATATTTTTTTCCAAATATCTTACCCTTCTGATATGCAATACTGTCGAATAAACCACTGATTTCTTCAGGCGAATTCACTTCCTTGTTCATTGGACGCACATTTTCCGCCGCGTCAGCAATGAAAGCATTCCCTTGTATCGAGTCCACGACACGTACTTCGTTTAATTGCCATTCCGGAACCACCTAAACGATTAATGTGGATAATGCGGTTTTGTAAAAATTTTCAATTGAAAAATTTCGTGTCGTATGAAATGTTGATCTAGCACGTAACGTGCGTCGCGACAGTTCAATCACAGCCGGAAAATCTTTTGCTTCGGCCGCGTTATTTTTGAAAATTTTTTTCATCAAATCAGGTGGAAGCGCGGAAAGGTGAAAAATTAAGGCGAAAAGGCGCGAACAGCAATTTTTCAAATCGCTTACAGGGGCCACCAGCAGTGACAACTTTAAAAGAACCGCAACGGATGAAAATGTTGCTTCTTGCGATTTAACGAAACACAAAATAAGCGAAACATTTGTTAAACTTACCTCGTTGGCAATGAAATATTGGAAGTAGGTAGCAAATCCTTCGTTCAGCCAGAGATACGTCCACCATTTCGGGCTGACTAAATTTCCAAACCACTGATGCGCGAATTCGTGAGCTATGATCGTAGTTATACTTTGTTTGGTACGAAGCGTGGTTTCAGATTCCTTGTAAAGAAGAGCGCTCTCTCTGCAACAGGAAGTTCATTATTAAATTTTACTATTTCATATTCCTTTCGTACTTGAACTCAGATAGCTCGAAGCAACAGCTTCGTTCGTTAAATACTTTCATACACGTTACATGGTTGTTTGTATCGCGTAAACGAGAATATCATACAATATAGTTATTCATTTACTCGTGGCCATTCTCGAGTCTAGCTGTGTGGAGTCTAATATTCTTTGATAAAAAAAAAAAAAAGGACTGAACAATCGAAACGTTTGGAAAGTGCTATTTCTTAAAAATTTGTTCGTATCTTTCATTTCGAACTTGTGGTCCGTTTCGAAAAATTGTCGCCTACGTCTTACAGATCTGGACTTTAAACCCGTAGAACGATACGCGTTTCAGTTATGCGTTGCGATAATTACCTATAGGTTACGAGACCCCAATTTTCCATAGCTGACGGTGAAAAATCTTTGAGCGTGACTTGATCCATTTTTGGCATAATCTTGGAGTAAAAAATATTTGTATAGGCGTCTAATTTGTCGAGCAACTTCTTGCCCATTTCCAACGCGTACGCACCCTGATCTACAGCGTGTGATTTTGTCCAAACTCGGAAAGATCCACTTTCCTTCACGCCGTAGTCAGAGACCACAAAAGCCACCAAGTATGAAGACATTTTTGGAGTATCTTGGAAAACAGTCTTTGTTTTGTTCTGCACCGTCGTATTGCTTTTCTCAGGCATGTTTGAAATTGCTTTGTAATTGGTCTCATGTGTCAGAGCAATTTTATATACTGCTTTGTACGCGGGTTCATCCCAGCAAGGAAATGCTTGTCGTGCACCTGTTGGCTCGAAATGAGTCGCAGCGACATATCTAAAACATACAAGCGGCATTCTGAAAAACACTGGTTTGCTCTAAGTAGTACAATTAGCAAGAATAAAAATTTTCAACGCAGCTCTATTGTAGTAATTTCGCCACTTTTACAAATAAAATAATCGATATGCATGTCACCCTTACTTTACAGTGCGATCCTTGTCGAAATATCTGCTTCTGTAGAATCCCCTTGCTTTGTCGTTCAATTCACCGGTGTAATTGATGGTAAGCACGTATGTCCCATTGAGAGAATCTTTTACACTGATAACTAAAAATTCTTGTTTCTCTTTTAGTTCCACTTTGGTTGCTGTGATTACTGAAGAGCTATTCACTGGAGACAAGCTAACGTCTTTCTCGGTAACGTTGAGATTCTTTGCGTTGAGCGTCAATCTCGTGGTACCGGCCTTCACGACAATCGTGATTTTTGCTGTCCCCGTGAAAGTAAATTTCTTCAGGTCAGGTTCAAGATTTAGTTCGTATACGGATGGTACGGCATCTTCTGGCAGTCTATAATCCAGCTCGTTCGAATTGTCCGCCTGGGCACCGAGCGAATTTCCAAGGAGAAGATTCGCCTGGCAAATCGTCAGGACGAGGAGTAACGGTATCGATGCTTTTGTCATTCTGGATTGATTCAGCGAGCATGCGCATCCAACGAACGATCCAGCTTGACTATTTCTGTCCCGTAAAACACATCACTTATTACACACCTCTGTTTCATATCGAGAACATCAACAAAATTTATTTCATGTTTGCTTAACGTTTCAACTGAATGCGTGAAATGTTGATCTTAGTGTAGTCAGACGTGGAACCCGAATTCCTCGCGTTACGCGGTCAAATTACACGTATGCGTACGATATTTGGGTGAATTGTTCAATTTCTTAAATGTGTTTATCAATTGTGCAAAGAAAAGATATATTAGAAAACGGTATTAGCGAAACTATATCACTTTTCGTTTATTCGCGCTTATTAACAAAGAGAGCAATCTTTACACAGAGAGTATCGCAATATTACTTTAATTTAGGAACGTTCGATTTCGGTAGATATCCGTGAAAAAATTGTTATTCTCGAAATTAGATCTATCCAGAACATTGGAGATTTAAACAGTTCGATAACATACCTTAGGGGAATAATTGTACGTCGTCAATTGCCTTATGAAAGACTACATGTAGAAATATTCGTGCTTTATAAGGCACCCGCGATAGGACTATTATCGAAAATATGTCTGACTTTCCTAATCTTATCAATCGATGCCTTATCACGATTCTAGTTATTATTTTTTCGGATGAAGACCAATAAATGGTCTATTACATTTATAAAATTTCTTCAAATGTTTAATCTGAAGTATAATCAATAATACGATACATTTATATGATGTGCAGTACGATTCCGTTTGACGTGAATAGAAATCATTTCGATACCAAGAAATTCTCCCTATGTAGTTTTGTACGATTTTATTTCTTTTATCGGCAATATTTGAACAACATTCTACCTTGTTAGGTAATTCTCCGACTTGATTTAATAAAACAGATAACAAGATAAATTTTATCGTAAACATTGAATATCTTATATTGAAATGCTTCGTGAAAGAGTCATTTTTAACGTTGCACGTAATGGCGTAATATGTCGTAGCGAAAAACGTAAATTTACTTAAAAATGAATCGCCCGATGATGAAGAGAAAAAACAAATTTTTACATAATATTCCAAAAGTGAATCGCCGTCGATTCTTTTCAATTTCTTTTTATCTCTGCGAAATTATCAATTTTGTTTTTCGTTTTGAACAATTCAGGAAGTTGTACCTTAACAATGGATTACAAATATCGGCGTCAATTTCAACTGATCTTATCGACAAGCAGATAGTCTCTTAATGCAGGATGTGTTTCGGTTGCAAAAACATTAGTTAGAAGTTAGAATCTTTACCGCTTGAGAAGACTCGTTTAGAAAAATTTCTCATGTTCGAACTAATTGTTATCTCTAACACGTGTACCGGATGGCTCTTCATAATCCCTTAATTCCTCATTTCTTCTAATGGTTATGTACAGCGAAGGCTATGCGGTCTACATCGAGTGACTATCTTATTGAATTCGTCTGTGTGTGAACTGTATTTAAGGAATATCGAGAAATATACGGTCCCGTTGAAAGAAAAGGTAACGACCTTGAAACGTTCTTCACGTTTTCTTCAAAAAATTAAATTATTCAGTAAACTGTGTAAAATATCCTTGAAATACTTCAATTTTTCCTAACATTTTTTCGTATCATCCATATTTTTGATAATATTCAATCGTCACATAATTTATGTCATAATTTAATACACTGTCAGATGAAAAAGGTTGAAATACTGTATATCATTTTTATTCACCAATTCCTAAAAACAAATTCGGAATTAACGGTAGGCTTTGTCGGAAATATATTCAATCTGCTTTTCTTGTATTTTGAAAATAATTTTTTACCACAAGAGTATTTCTTTTCGTCAGAATTCTTTGACTTTTAATAAATAACTCCCCGAATGGTAATTACTATCAAATTTTACTTACTCGTTGGTGACAATCGATATATATATATGTATATACATATAACTAAAAGTCAAGTAGGTACGCATTGATATTGAAGATAATAATCGAGCATATCTTAAAAAATTCTCGGAATGTGCTCATTCTAAGAAAATTGCATCATAAAAATTGTATTACGTTAATTAATAAGAAAAGAACAATTTATTTGATGAAGAAAACTCTTAATCATTTCTATTTCAATCACTTGCCGAACTTTATTCGATACGTCGTTAGATTACAATTTAATTTAACCATTTTATTTAAATATTTAAATAATATTTCATTCAAATACTCCATTGAAACGAAACAAAAAAAGAAGTCTTAAAATTATTTCTTTTTAGTAAGATATCTAAAAAAAATCTAAACCAAGGCCGTTTAAAGCTTCAACCATCGTACAAATGTGTCAGTGGAAATAGTTGTCGATTCTAGACGAATATTTCTCAAGCCACTCTAAGTTTTCTGAGGAAACAGACAATGCCTGTTTCGCGGTGTTCAACGCTGATCCGAGTTCTTCGGAGTGTCTCTGAACGAACGAGCGTAGCTGCAACAGAAACGAGTGTTATATGAAAAATTATTTAGAAAAGCGGGAAAACCCCGACAGGTAGCTACGGGTAATTAAAATCGATACGCCGTTTCCTTCAAAAATAAAAATGAGTAATACCGTTTCTGATTGTTCCGCCGTTATCGTTGCGTTCCCAATTGCGGTAATCACCTTATCCAAGAAATTGTATCCTCTTCTAAAAAAAGCAAAAGTGATTCTCGTTTATCATAAAAAGGTGCTCAACCGAAGATAAGGAAGTTCAAAAGTATTCTATCGTGTCGAAAAGTGTACGCAGAAGTGTTGAAGAAAAAAAAAAAAAATACGTACAATTGAACGATACGTTGCAAATTCGATTCGACAAATCGTACAACGTGTTCCACGTTTCTGGCGTTCCCGTCTAAAACGGCATTCACTATGATCATTCTTTGCTGTTTTCGAACATTTCGATCGTCCGAGATGGACAATTCGAGATACCTGCGGAAGAGATTTTCGTTCATAGTTGAAGGTCGATGTTCGATCACAAGCGTGGAAAAATGATTCGTGACGATTAAACGACGCTGCTTCTCGCGTTAAATTGACGATGCGAGGGCGAGTTCGATGACGAGTTAAAAAAAATCTCGTTTGCACTGGTTAAAAATGTTTAGGTCTCTGTGTGGATCGTTTAGATTGATTCGCAAGTGGCCTTGATTATCACATCTAACATGTGTGATAGGAAACAGCGGGCTAGGATGGTTAATAAACATTATGCACTATTACTATTACATGTAATATATTAGGTCGTTGCATACGAAATGGCGGTGTTCGAATGCTGGCGGATTCCGTTTTGTTTTTATAAATTAGAATCATGGTGATTGTCATATGAAAAAGTGAAACCGACAGTCTACTGTTTTAAATGCAACACTTGTTTCACTGACAAAGCTAGATTAAGGTTATATTAAAAGTAGAAAATGGAATCTAATCAGATTTGTGTGATATCCTTTTACGAATTTAAACTGGGACATGGTGCAGTAGAGGCACTATGAAATGTTAATACATACTGCATTTGAGATAGGAAGAACTAGTGATCAGACAACACAACGTTGGTTTAAGCATTTAGATGATTTTGTACCAGGAAAGATATTCAACGATGAGCCACTAGTAAGGATGCATTTGTGGAATTTCTTACCAATATTTAGATTTGTATAATAATAGACGAAAATCATTTGTAATTCGTTGACAAAAATGTGTTGAATCTGCTAGAATTTGTTTTGATAAATAAAGTTTAGTTTTGACTACGTCATTGAGGTTTAAAGTTTCATTAATGAATCCGCCATTTCATATGCAACGACTTAATACAATAACCATACTTAGTTTGGGAATATACTCACAGAGAAGTTGAATAATATTAAGAGATACAAACGTAGTTCCCCCTGTTAATCATATTTCAACCAGGTAATTGTTTCTCACGAATATTTCAATGTTCAATGGACAATTAATTGATCTGCTTGTTACAAATATCCTAATCAACTTGCAATGGAATTTTGAATTCGTTGCATTGATATCTAGAAATTTGTGATTAATGTACTGTCAATGAAAGCTTACCTGTTGATTAAATTAGCTCTTTGTGTGCAGCCAAGACCTTGTAACAACAGATCTTGTTCCGTTTGCAAATCTGCGATCAACCATCTATCCAACATCGCGTACCAATCTGCCTCGCTTCCATTACGTATTCCTTCACAATAGACGAAGCTCTTAAGATCTGGTATTATCCTATGAATTTGCAAATTAAGGTAATAGTCGAAGAAAATTGTCAAATGCAATATTTACATTGGTATAACTGAAACGTAATTTTCTACTGCATAATGTGCTGTGACAATATCTTCATATGCAAAGTAACATATTCAACTAAGTGAAAGATCTATGGTTAATATGTGCATGATATCAAGCGCAACAAATAATGCAATAATTATGCTGTCCTTTGCAAGAAAGAATTACTGAAATACACAATATATGTTCCAATAGAGATTTATTTCTACTAATTCTGAGTAACCAATTAATTTTGAACACAAGGTATTTAACCCCTTAACCTATGACTTCTTTTCTGACTATGCATCTAAGCGTCAGCCATTTTCTATTTTAGTACTGTATCAGGTAACAAAAACTAATCTGTCACAAATTAATTACACTTCGTAATCCTCAGTGTTACAAATTCAAACGAAAGTTAGGATTACAATGAATTTTTCTTACTAATATAACGATTTTTGTCACATCTTCGCCAGAATCTCTGCCACGAGTCTGACACGCTATCATGTGTTAAGGGGTTAATGTCATCAATATTTAACTCATAATTATACAGTGAAGCATTAAGTTAGACTTTAATATTAACTGTTAAACGTATGTTAATAAACAAATTTTTGTAAATCTCTCTTGATTCCATAGTTTTAACTTACAATTAGAAAGGAATCCCACTAGGCGATACGTTTCCGCGTAGACAATAAATAGGGAGGGGAAAAGCATTTGATACTGAATATCTTTTTGAAATACTCAACAATTTTTAACCATTACAAAATAGAGAATTCACGTGAATATCCTATGTGAACTTATGTTAAAAGAAGAAGACGTGAGATTGTGCACAATGCACAAAAAATATCACTGTCTGAGTTTGAGAATTAGAAGGAGAGTATAACGTAAAAATAAATTCTAACGTATAAAAAAGGGAAAATTGAATGTTGCATTAGAAGATGTTTCGTGATATCATGCAAACATTATTTAAAATAATATTTCTTATCTATAAAATAATCTGCAACTGCAGTGTATTCTATAAAAGTAACAACATACAATTTTTCGTACTGCCTGTCAGGCGCAGCGATCCAATTTCGAAACAAAGTTTCAGATTTTCTCAAGCAATCAGCATTGCGTACTAAACAAGATGTCGACAAGACCAATTCTCGGTGCAATTTAGTAGTAATGTCATCGTGTGTAGATTCGGTGAAATTCAATTGCTCGTACATGCCTCGTAACAAACGTACCGCATATTCCTGTTGTCAACAAACGTTGCGAATTTGTGTAGTTAACGTCAATATTGTAGAATATTAAAGACAAAAATGTCTTCTCGAATTTTAATCTAACTTTGTAAGTAATTGTTTGAAACTTCGAGAAATTTGTAATTTCCCGCGTAAAGAAATTGAAATTATTGTAACACAAGCATGTGTTCGACTATATTTTTTGTTATTATTTCTTTTTTTTCTTCGAGATAATTTTTTAACTATTCAAATCTATTGAAATATTCTTCGGTAACATTGAAATTCGATTTATTGTCGAATTAATGTCTCGATTTAATGTCTCTCCCATTTATTCTTTTATGAAAAATCATCGTCACCCAATTGTATTCCAGAAATCATGGTGCAACCGAAAAGGAGATGATTCCTCATGTAAAAGTAAATCGAAAATATAGAACAAAATTTGTTCGTACAGACCTCTGTTTTCGAGCAAATCGAATTTGAATATTGGTTAAGTACACGTACACTTGTCTAACCACAATTTGCTGGTTCCGTCTAATCTGACTTGGTATAGATTAAAATAATGCAACAACTTTCAATAATGTGTTTATTTTATTAATTGAAAAATTGCTGAAAATGTCCTTGATATCGCAGACAAATCTTTACTCAGTGAATTAAAGAAGCATAAACCTTATCTGACATTGTTAAAATCACCAGCAGAAATAGCGACAGATAGCTAAATTGTGTGAAGCAAGTATAATAGATTACGGCTGGTCAAGTGCACGCGTACTTAACGAATATTGAAACTTGATTTTCTCGAAAATAGAGCATTATACGAATAAATTTTATTCTATATTTTCGACTTACTTTCACTTGAGGAATCGTCTTCTTTCCAGTTGTCTCACGATTTCTGATACAGCCTGTATGCACAAGCAATCCTTTAAGAGTCTTGAAAATGTTCTGTTTACTTTGGCTCGCGTTGCTCACCTGGAAAGCCTGCTGTACATGTGGCTTGCTGTCCAACATTTTGTTCAAAAATTTCAAACTATTCACAGCTGTGACCCACGGTTCGTAATCAAGCTCCTGGACCAAATATCTGGCAAGATCAAGTGGAACTGAGTAATCTACGTAACCCGCCCTAGCTAGGTTAAAAGCGTCGTCCAAGAGCGCAGCTCTATTTGATCTGTGTATCTTTTCGAATTGTGCAGTGTTCAAATAATCGACAAGCATTCGCCAATTTTTTTCGTCGTAATTCACTCGATAATATCCAGTTTGTTGGGTATTGAATATAACCCAGTCGTTTGATGGAACGCCATGGATAGTGTAGTTTTCGTCTTCCGGCTTCAACCAATGTATTGGGGTTGTATTGGAAAAGTCTGTGAGTGATTTTTTGACGAAATTCAACGGTATCCACCATTCAGACGACGACTGATTGTGATTTCGACGAAAACGTTCTTGAGACACTGTCAGCGTTTGCGATTCGTAATCTCGCGTGACTGTCACTAAAGGGTATCCTGGTTGATTTGTCCAGGATTTCATAATATCCTGTATGGACGTATTATTTTGCAGATGACCCAACTTGTCGACAGAAGCTTGTAAATGCTTGTACAGGTCGAAAGGCGTAGCTGCTTGATACGACCTGATTTTTAAGAAAGTAATACATTAAGATGATAACAAATGAATAGTGTAGCTTTTAAGAAAGGTATTATTCGTGTTAGAATAGGTAGAGTGTTTAGAAAGCTTTCTGGCGGTCAATGCTAGCAAATACAGATGTACAGGGTATCCCAGTTTATTTTCGATCAAACTTTGTCAGTATCTTCTATAGGCATAAAATTTTAAATGAACTATACTTATATAACAGTTTTGTCTTATTTATACTCATAGAATATACTGACAAGCTTTGATCGAAAAAATCTGGGACACTCTATACGAGACGTTTTTGGAATTTGTTGACTGTATTCGTTGAGCAAAAGAAATAAACTACTTGTATCATCGATACAGAAAATTACTTCTACCACTGACAATATGCATGTATAATGAAATTAGAAAATCAAACACAAATAATGAAATATTATCGAAAACTATGCAAAAGTTATTTGAATTATTAGAAATCTCATTTATATTTCCAGTTGAAAAAGTGTATGTTGGGATCGAAAATCCAGGTATTCACGAAAAATTCGTCGCGTAAGTAATAAGTAGTTTTCCATTCGTCGAGCTTACATATTTTTTACATAGCTTCGTAGACCATCCTGAAAAGCTGTTTTTCCAATCGCGTGGGACAACATACGGATTACAGATGCACCTGAAGTAAGATAATTAATTTTCATTCAAATTATTTGGTAACGACAGTTGGCAGATGTATCATAACATGTGTATTTTTAATACGCAGTCTGTTTAAATAGATATAGTCTCATTGTTAGATTTATTATCTTCGATATTATAGTAAGTCACTTATTTTGACTCAATAATTTGACTCAACTTCTTGATTAAACAAAAAATTTGAAATCGGAGACAAAAGATATTAATTTAATGCTTCTTAATTTAAAAATGATTTTGTTAATTGTTCATTACGTTATCCATTTACATCTAATCTTTTTCCAATGGCTCTCCAACGGAGAACTGAGGATATTTACTACATATACAGGGTGAGTCACATAATTTGTCCACCCCAAATAACTGCTAAATTATGTGTTCTACAAAAAAGTGATTCATATAAAAATTGCACGGTATCGAAGGGAACATAGGATGCTGATCGACTTTCTTCATGTTCCCTCGTCCAGAAGAGGCAGTCAAATATCACGCATACAGTCAAATAGCTATAAGTTCCAAAATTTTGTGAACCAATTATTTCTAACTGAATTAAGCTTAATTTTTCATAGGCGAAAACGTCTCGTTTATTTTACAAACCTATAACTGTTCATTTCGTCCGGTTCTTTGGATAACGTTCTCCGACAATTATTATACAATTTAATTTCAATTTTAAAGTACACCCATCCCTCCATTTACGCGGTCAGATAGGTTCAGTTTTCTATAAACTTTCATTGAATTTATTACAAATCAGAGAGATGCAAATTCTTACTTGAACGTACTAATTACATAACTCTGACCTTATTTGGTTTTTTTTAAACCTCTTGTCCTACGATTTAAGTTTTACAGTACAGATCCTGACACCGAATAAAACTTATTTTGGTTTTCTGAAATATCGTTATTTTTTTTATTAACCTATACGATTTAAATGTTTTTATAACTTATACCAGTTTATCTTACCATGTTTTTGTTTTCATACAAGCAGACTCTATTTACGCGATTTTTATCCTCGTAAAAAAAATCAACGCGGAACGATCAATCCGCGTAAATGGAGAGATGGGTGTATAGTATTTTCAACTCATATTCAATCAGGTATACACTTCCCCAAATTTTCAATATTCCTCGTCGAATCGTGCTCTCAAAATTCAAACAAACCTTTCTTGTACGAAACAAAGTCTAAAACAGCAGCGATACTGCTAGGACTTCCAACGTTCCGACCGTTCATAACTCTAGCATGATCCGCGGAGTCTAGAAATAGGGTTGGTTGCAGCATGTCCACCACAAACTTATCCATCATCCTCCAAGATGGATGCACTTCCGATACGGCGAAGTATTGAAAGTAGGAAGCGAAACCTTCCTTCAACCAAGCCACGTCCCAAAACATCGGTGTAACGAGATTTCCAAACCAGGTGTGAGCGTATTCATGAGCCATAGTGGTAAAACCGTCGATCTTGTTCTTCGTAGGAGTAACGCCATCTTCGTATAACACTACTGATTCCCTGTACGTGATCATACCCCAGTTCTCCATTGCGTGAAAGTTGAAATCGGGAACGGCGATCTGGTCCATCTTCTGAATCGGATTATCGATTACAAGCCAATCCTTCAGGAACGAGTATATCAATTGACCTTGATTCAATGCGATCGATCCACGACGATTCATAGATTTTCGTGTCCATATTTTGAAAATTTCCGAGGAGTTTGTCGTCGTTTGGGAGACGAAGTTGTGGACAGCCCAGCCTAGCTGATAGGTAGCCATCGTTGGCGTCGATGTGAATTGGTATATTCTCTCAGGTGGAAATCTGGTGTTAGAAATGTAAAGTAAACGCGTCTGGTATGAAAATGGAAGAGAATTTATTAAACATCAGGGTAGAGGAGAAGGTCTAAATATGGGCTAGTTGAAGTATTGAATATGTTAAGTGCTCGACCCTATTGAAAACAGGATGAAACTAAGAGTTATGAACAAAATAAGTGTTGCGTAGGAGATAGTGACCTGCGTTTATTTTGTTTATGTCTTGCGTTGCAAAACGTGCCATTTCTCTTATTTTGCTATTTCAAAACATTTTTCAGGTAAGTTCGTTTTATTAATTCAGCAATAAACTATTAAACTAAGAGTACTACATTGCTAACATTGTACGTTTCTTTTTAATGTAGGATTTGTAATGAATATCATCGCTCTAACCGTTCCTGACCAAATGATCTCAATATGGGCCACAAAGCTGTAATAATAGCTTTATAATATGGGCTAATATCGGCTAGTCAAAATTAGAATAATGAAAATGTCAAAAAACTTACAGCCCGGTAATAGTTTTAATTTCAGTATTGCTGGTCACTGTCTTGTTTGTAACAGCAATTGTCACATCAAAAACTGCTTTGAAACCGGGCTCATCCATGCAGGGGAACGCCCGACGTGCATACGTCGGTGAAAATTGAGTGACAAACATCCATCTGGAAAAATTAGTTGTTTTTAAAATATTAAGTTGTACGGAAAGTTCTGTCATAACTCATAAAATACTCATAACTTCGCCAAAAGTTTACATATTCATTCAAAACAAAAACCATTATAATCGATACATCTTTGCCAACGTTGCCATAAATTATTTATGCCATCTACAAAAACAGTCTACGAGGAATCTAAAAAATCCACGAAGACCTACTCCACATCACGTTCGTTTCGAAATGATTTCTCCTCGATAAAATTGTGAAAATGTTTGAATTGATGATAATCTGTTGGCGAAAGTTCCGGAGAATAGGGTGGATGTTGTAGAGTCTCAGATCACAGGTCGTTTAACTTTTGGGCTGTCATTAATCAGGTGTTATCATGCAAAAGAACTGGACCCTTTCTATTGACTAGTGCTAGACGGATAACCGACAGCCTTTGATGCATTTCGTTAAGTTCGTTGCAGTACTTATTTGCCTTAATCGTTTCTCCTATTTTGAAAAAGTAATGCTAAATAATTCCGTCAATAGACCATCAAACAGATAACATTATTTTTTTCAGATGTGCTTTAGGTTTTGAAAAGTGTCTAAATGGTTCGTTAAGATGCAACCACTGTCCAGATCTTTTCCGCTTATCATAAAATACCCAATTTCATCGCAGGTAGCAGTTCTATCAAGAAAAGGGTCTTTAATGTTCCGCAGGATATGGGAAGAGCAAATGGAGGCAGGAAGCACTTATCCATTTTCTTTGTCTTGCCAAAATTAGTGAAATGTTGGCATAGGTGTATCGATTGGATTGGTTCATAGATTGAATAAATTTGCTAACTTTTGGCGGAGTTACGATTATTTAACCCTTATGTCAATAACCACAATTGTCGTCTACTTTATCGTCCAATTTTAGTAGTTTTCTGATAACAAAATTCTAAACTTGAGGCAAACATGGATAGGAAATGTGCCAAATAACAACGATCTGGCCGGATATTTCAATCTTTTGCCTGGAATATAAAATATTTTAAGTGAGAATTATGCAAAAGGGTACACGGGTACCCGGTTATTGACATAAGGGTTAAATTCACCGGACGAAATTCGACAGAACTTTCCGAACGACCTAATATTTAAAATTACCTTTGTGATCATTGTTGCGCGTGAAAATTAGACAATTGACTTACTTCGTTTGTCCGTTTTCATTGTAAGAGCTTCTATAAAATCCGAATACATCATCTCGTATTTCTGCCTTAGAAGATAGATTCACCGTGTAATAACCAGGCCTCAGTCCCGTAGACATATTTATTGTATAAAACTGTTTTTCCGTGTCGTAGCTTGTGCTCTTAATTGGACACTCGATACTTTTCCTGATTCCAGCCTCCACTTCAACTGTTTGAAAAACGCCTACGGAATTAATGTTCAACCCATCGTTGTGCAGCACGATAGTGTTCGTCGTTTTAAGAATTTCCAGATGTATCGATACGTTCGCGGAGTACATGAAATTCTCTTCATTCGCCACTATCGAAATGACATATTTCTTTGGGACGATTTCTTTTGGTAGTCTGTACGACAAGTAGTCAGTGTCATTTTGGAATCTACTTTTATCATCCAACGACCTTTCGGGATGTACTGCCAGCGCTGCTTCGAAAACTGTAACGACGCATAGAAAAATGCAAAATTGCAATTCACGTTTCATGCTGGCACGATTTTATTCGACCACTTTCGATAGATCAAACAGTTTTCACTTCCGTAGATAGACAACACCACAATCGTGTAAAAAGCTGACAGCTATATGTAACGTTCAATACGATTCACTGAACCCAATGCATTTATCAATTATCTTCAGTTACCGGTGTCGAGGTTTGTGATAGGTGATAGGATGAACATACTCCTCTCAATCAAGCATTTAATCTTGGTATAACCTACTTGCTGCTTATTACTTTCGCCTCTTTTATCGCGGTTAAGTTGTTCGAATTTCAGATAAGTGTTTATCTTTCGTATTAAACATTGATCTCTCTTTATCACAATCTTGTACAAAAAATTTAATATGTTTATTTTTATAACAGAAAATAACAAGTAAATATGATAAGAAAATTGGAGAATGCAAAGATTCCTTTTGAAAGGGGGTACACCACCCTTAGGTGTGTCTAAAAACGAGGAGATGATTGAAAATTTTTTTCATAGGTAACTACCAAATGAAAAGTCTCTATTTTTTCAGAGGATATAAGTGCAACTTTCAGTTTTTTTACATCAATCTCCTCTAAATTGCATCTATATCGTGTGTTGATATGACGTAATTCAATAAAGTTTGAACTTGTTCAATTAAAGAAATTAATTAAAGAAAAACTAAGCTAAAATCTAAAAATCTGAACGTACTAATCTTTCTATTCGTACAACAAAAGGATCATTATTGAAAATAGGTACTTAGCGTTTCAGTGAAAAATACGATTCAGTGATAAGAATAGAATATCGTCTGCTGTGTTTTTTTCTTACGAACACGATGATCTTTTATCGTAATTTCACTAACCACAAACTTCAATTAGAAGTACTCACGTTTGATTATTGGTATGCTATCTATTCACTGTTTAGTAGTAACCTTATGTTATACATTTATTACAATCCGTTTTAGCATTGAATTGGATCGGAGTCGGGAAACAATGATGTCATCGAGTATATATAAACGCTAATGGAATGCAACAGAACATAAAACTTGGCTATACAGTGTGTCCCATTTTTTTTGCGATCAAACTCTGTCAGTATGTTCTATGGGCATAAGTAAAAAAAAAATATTATATCAACACAGGTAATTTGAAGATTTATTAAAAAGTTATAACAATAATACGAAATACGAAAGGAATTATAACGAGTGTGCGGGTATTATGATACATAATACGAATAGATCAGCGATATGTACTATATAATCTGCTTATGCGAGCTGTGTTTGCGATCTGAGGTCGTGGAAGATGTTGAATGTAACTTTCTACCAGTGTCATTCTTATCTTGTATTATAATAATATTCATATAACATTTTTTCTTACTTACAATTAGACTTATAGAACATATTGACAAAGTTTTATCGAAAAAAATTGGAACACACTGTACACAATTATTGTTGAATAATACAAAGTAGATATATAATTTGTGGAAAATTAAAGAGATATCAGAAAACGAAATGTGTTTTTAGGATTGATCTCGTTAAAATTCGAAGAATCACGAACTCATGATCTATTTCAATGATAAGATGAATTGTCATAGATGTGTAACAGAGATCATGATTTATCTCACAGTATCAAATTTTGGAAACCAGGAAAATCTACCATGTAATGCCTGCGATAATTTGATTAAAACTTTTCTACGTTCCAATTGTACCGAATTGATGATAATAGCAAAGAATAAGGAAAGTAAATAAACACTGAAATTTGTATTGAATAATTACAGAAAATTGCATCGTGCAAGAAACCAGGGAATGGGATTCAATGGAAAATAAGGGTTCCCGAACAATCGTATATCAATGAAATACGTTTCATTTGTTTTATTCTGAGCAAAGTACAAAACGCGTTCAGCTTAAAATCTAACGTCATCGTTCGCAAAACTTGCGAATACACGACCGAACGTCGCAGCATAACTTAAAATAATTTAATTAAGGCAACTCTGTCGTTACGCTACGCATTAGTCTTCTTCGAATATATTACTATTCACCACCGTTACTATTCATCGTGAAAATTTCGTTAGGCGCAGCGGTTTACCGCGCGAAAGGGCCAAGCCGGCTATTTCTCCAGATTAGGACTTTGGTCGATTAATAGCATTATTTTGAGAATGAAAATATGTCCTGGCGAGAGGAAAATTAGACGTTCGTTTCTCTCGCCCTCTGCAGCTAAACCGTGGTATAAAATTGGCCTTCGGAAGGGTGACTGAGGATCTCTCGTAGTGATCGAAGGATCGACACGGTCGTAACCTGGAGGAAATTGCCAAACCTTCGTCGCCTTCATCAAACCCAGCGAAGGGATTCACCACCGCTAAGACACGCTGATTGGTTGATTAAAGAAGTGAAAATGAACAAATCAACGTGCATAGCATTCGAAGGAACTAGTCCAAAATAGTAAAAAAGAACTAGAACCAACATACACACAAAGGCAGTTCGACACTGAGATTAAGTCAGATCCAGTGGAGTTAAGGTCACGATATTACGCATAATGTCAGTTAGTTCAGTGAGATCAAATCAGTCATCGGATAACAGTCAAGTCACAATGTCATATCTGTTAGTTGTTCAGTATAAATAAATTGTCAAAACCAACCAGTGTATTCATATCCCTCCACAACGAGGGTGGTCCATCGAGTCAACCTTAGACAGCACATCACGTGCGATAATTAACAAAGCCCGAACGAACGTAACCACGGGCCTAACAAATTTCATTTCAGCTACACTGTATCCCCTTATTTACGCGTTTCCGAATAATAGAGAAACTCTCGGAATTATTCGAAATTGTGGATAACAAACTACCCCGACTAGATAAGCAAACGATTGAATTTTAAAGCAGAAGGCGTTCATTGTAATTACAATATTGTATGCTATTTACAGAATCCTGCTGTGTGCTTTTGAAGTTTGATCGTGTGTGTTTGTGAGCAATAAATTAATATCTTAACAATAGAATTCCGTTATGGAAAAGAGTAGCGATTATGAATTTTTCAGCAATGCGTTTCTTTTCAATGAAAAAAAAAAAATACACAAAAAGAAGAAGAGAAGAAAACCAGCAAAAGTCTTATGATACACGTAAATAAAGATAAAAAATAAGAGAGAGGAGAAAAGTGAATATGTCGACGATAATTTTCAATAGAATAATGGAAAATGCAAGTGCGTTGTAAAATAAAGTTATTGTTTAAATATTCGTTCATGTACAAACTTTACAATAGTTGTTACTTTGTAATTTCCGTGCTTTTATGCTTGTCACAGTGAAAAGACTCGATTGTTTAAATCCTGTTCGTTACAAATACGATAAGGCGTAAAATATATTGCTATCTACGTTAACGAATGGGATTACTTTGCATTGTGACTTATTGCTTTCGGTGAATTCACGTTGTATATATTAATAGAGTAATTTATAGAAGTACAAACTTGACGAGTCTTTAGTTTCATTTATGCGCCCATACATCGTTAGATTAACAAGAAGTAAATAATTTGATTCCACGTAACCGCTAGACATTCATTGTTTCAATTTGTCAGTTTAACGTCAACGAAACAATCCAATACTGTATAATACTAATTTAACTTTGCCATTATGTTAGCACAATGCAATAAATTAATGATCCTTACGAAGTTCCACGATCCAATAATTTATTGATCAAATTCAGAGTGAAACAATCTTAAGCCTAAGCTTCAACTTCCACTATTCCCACGTTATCAGATATTTCCTTGAACTGTGTTTGCTATAAAAGTTTTCTTCAAATATTTAGATACGCGTTATCAAGAACCAGGCAAATGAAGTGTCTTATGAAAAAGAAGAAGAATCGAAAGTGCAACAGGGTGAAATAACGATAAAACTAAGTTTTCAGTAGAACGTATCAAAACTGATATATCGATCGAAACTTACAATTGAGGAGTTATTTGGAAAAAGGCCCAGAGGACAAAATAGCGAATTGATCTTCTCGTACAATGTTCAACAAAAATCTCTCTTCTGACCTTTATTGATTTAATATTAAAACCAAATTTCGAGGAAAGATTTCTAAACACATTGTAGTTAATTAAACAGAATTTGCCAAAAAAAGGATCCATAGACCTGTAAGTCTCTCTTCCAGAAAGCTCCTTAATTTAAAAATCGTAAATGGTCGTTTCCACGTATTTATCGAAATCGATTCAGACAGATACGAAACAGTAAAAAAAAAGCAACTCTCCAGTTCCAAATAGTTCATATTTATGTTACAAACACGCAATATCTTGGTCGCGTGTCGCGATCACAGAGCAGTTTCCAGCGTCGGGACGCTAGGACTACGAGATACGTTTTGTATCGCGGAATTTTGGGGAGACTCTGACCTCGCGCGGAATATCTTCCTCGCGTAAGTACTGCGGCCCTGATTCACGGTGGTTGGTGTGCTGGCCAAGAACTGTGCTCTAGCCAGTTGATTGCTGATCCTCCTCGACTCGAAAGCGCTTATCGCTTGTTGACACGAAGCCGTGAGTTGGGAGGAATTCGATGGATACGGGATCGTCGAGGAGCTTTTCACGTTGTTCTGTGAATGCTTCTCAGAAACGCACAGACCAGATGGTGACGTGTTTGGCGCAGAAGCGTCAGTTTTGTCCGCGAACATTTCTTCCGTTTGAACATTTCTGCCGGAGAATTCGATCTCCATGATGGCTTTTATGTCGGATGTCGCCGCGTTGTCCAACAGCAATCTGTCGTTATATGCGTCGGAAGCTTCGTTTTCGGAGTCGACGATGTTCTCGGGGAAATTACTGCAAAGATCCAACTGTCTCCTTGTGTTCAGTCTTGATATAGGGGAAGTGTTCTCCGGAGATGGTTTCATAGCCTTCTCCTCAGCTGCCGCGTCTTCGATGATCGTAGAAGACAGCACGTCCGTACGTGGTGTTTGAAACCTCCATACCGAACGGGGACTTAGGACTTTGACTAACGGTGTTGTTTGTTGGACGTTCGGCGACAGTTGTTGCTGTTGGCACTGTTGCCGGGACAGTTTCAACTGTTCTGCCGCTGAGAGCTTGGTGGGCCCACTTTTCACGCTCTGTTGAAGAAGCAAACGTTTGAAATCCAGTCGCGAAGTGGCGGGTGGCGACGGTGGAACGTTTTGCGTTATCTGAAATGACGTGAAATATTGTTGGTCGTACCAGTGATACAGTAAAAGAATATTAACAATAACGAAGATGTTACAATAGGCTAGCTTAAATCAGAATCAATTTTGAAGAAATTTAATCCTTTCGCTACGAAAGGACGCAAATATACGCTCCGTAAAAGTGGTCTCACTCATTTACGAAGAGCTTATTCAGGGTGTCCTAGTTTTTCCCGATCAGAATTTGTAAGTATGTTGTCAGTATGTTCTATAGACATAAGTAAGAAAATAATTTTATATAAACACAGGTCGTTTGAAGCTTCGTTAAAAAGTTACAACAATAATATGAAATACGAAGGGAATGGTAACGAAATGTGAGGTTATGGTAGGTACAAAATAGGAATAGATCAGCGATGTGTAGAGCTCAGGAATTTGGTCCTGGAAGGAATGCGGGTCTGATTAGGTCGTATCTTCATAAGGCCACGTTTTCTAACACAATTATAAAAATAAGGCACACGTATTGTCATTATTGGCCGAACGCGATAACATCGACGAATCATATAGCACCGCGTGGCGGATGTTTATGTGAGCTGTGTTTATGTTTCAATTTTTTAATAAAGCTTCAAACGACTTGTTTATATAAAATTATTTTCTTACTTTTGTCCATAGAACATACTGACAAAGTTTTATCGGGAAAAACAGAGACACCCGGTATATACGCCTGTCCAATACACCCAATTTATTCATTTATCTTCGCACTTCACAAACGAAATATCGCTGTCGGCTGAAAATCAGGCAACACCAGAATGCACCAGATATTTGACTATCATGAAACAGTTGATTTTCAATCTGTGTTATTTCTCTGTCAACGTTGAATGATAACTGTTTCATCCAGTACACAGCGTGCACTTTTTGTTTCAAGCGTGCCGTAACAAAAGTGTTAAGACATGTGTGTGCAATCTACAGTTCTTGTGACGTGATTATTACGATATACGATTGCAATTGCTTAAATATGCATATGATTATTACAAGAAACCTTAAAAATATGACGATACAAATACACTCTGTTCCTTTGAATTAACTAAATTAATAATAGCATAGGATATATGTGTTTCTACTTGCTTTGGTAGGCTTTAGTATGAGTAAGTAATATCCAAAAACTTAAGTTATATCCTAAAACTTTTTTACAAAGTGTCTTCGAACTGGTGGTACAACTCAAAAAGGATGAATCTACATGAAAGGATAAATCGAAAATGTAGAATAACACTTTTTCATACAAAATTTCATTTCGTAATAAAAAATAAATCGACGTTGAAGATTCAAATTGAACGATTTCTAGAGTAATTTCTTGTTTTTAAATGTTTCAATGCAAGAATAATTTTCTCTTCGAGCTGCTTGTATTCTCGTTCTGGTATCTAAGTACTTAAGAGACTTGGCGTGTCTCTACAAGTAAAAATCCATTGCTGTAAAATTCGGGGATAGTGGTGATCAAATTATTTCACCATTACATTAGCAAGGATATTGGTCCTTACTTTTATTTCATTGCTTCTCTTTCCAATATAAGTAATTTCTAATATAGGCAATTTGCAGTGATATTTGTTAGATGTAATAAGCGCGTACTCGACCAATTTTCAACATTAATTTATTCGGAAAAGAAGCCTTCCTATGAAAAAATGTTTCCTAAATTTTAAACTTATTTTTTCACGTAGATTCATCCCTAATCAGGTTGCATCACCAGTACAGAGACATCTTGTATAATACACTAAGATTTAGACTAAGAAGCTGAATAGTAACTTGTAGGGTACTGAAAAGTATCTTACTTCTCACATAAATAGTACCAGTCTACCAGTAAAAAGTGCAATATTGCTACTATATTTAAAAAAAATCTATTCCATAAAAAGATACACGTGTATCACTATCGATCGTTTCACGATCGTCAAAGTAAATTGACAAGCTGAAACAGTTGATCGTTTGTTTAGATGCAATGTAGCGAAGAAAGTTAGCCTCCTATTTGGAAGAATTTCACGGATATTTTTCTACGTACCATCGAAGATTTCTGTGGCTCCGAACTCCAACTATGCCTATTGTCAGTTGGGACCTTCACCAATGAATTGGTCGATCCGTACGGAGATTGATTTTCATTGTCGTCCTTAATATTCAGTCTTTTCTTTGATTTATGGATCGCGGCGAACAGCTCTTCGTTGGACATGGTACTCTTTGTAGGTGAAAGGATCAGATTCGTCGGTGTGCTTCTACCAGACGAACTTTGGACGGGACTGCTTCTCTTGGAGTTTGGCATCGGTGACGGGCAATTGTTGGCGGTCAAAGCCAAACGTTCGGCAACAGTTGGCATACTACGTCCAGTCGGTGTGGACGGCTTGAAACTATTGCCGTAGCTGTGCCCGATCGGGGAAATTGGATTGTGCTTTAACGCATCAGCACTAGGAGACTTCGTAACGGGATCACGAACAGGCGAGGACGCGAAGAATCGATATCCAAGCGCTGTTAGCCCTAATGGTGTTGCGAATCTGGGTGAAGAAAATGAAGATTCGTTTAGTACAAATTCTTTCCAGCATTTTCTCCTCGATACTTTCAACCGAGCCTATTACAAGATATGTATTATCAACCTATGTATATCTTTTATCAAATTCGATGGCGCACAACATATAAAAATGTTCACCAAGGAGTTAAATTGTTTATATATTTTGTCTCCTATGATAATCTTTGCACTTACTTACTCCCTTAACGCTCACATTTTTCTCAACTTGATACGCTAAAAACGATCAATTTTATTTTTTTTTAAATTACTTCCTAGGCGTGTAACCTACATTTTTACCATAGAATAGAAAGAATAGCGCAATATGGAAAGTAAAAGAAAATAATTGAACAAAATTTCACTTTTTGGAGGATTAGCTGTGCACGTGTAAAACACGAGCGTTGAGGGATTAAACATGTTTACTTTATTACGCACCTGTTTCTAATATCCACAATTGGCGACTGTTGTTGATTCTGCACTAGCCTGTTCTCGGCCTCAAAGCTCTCCGACTTCCTTCTGTTCAATCCTATCTGAGAGCCGTATCGATTCGAATCCTGATCTATGATTGTCTTCTGACCGTGCCTCGCAAGTATATGCATCGTACTCAACGAACCACGTCCAAGACCCCTCGTAATGTCTGGCGTGACACTACGAGGTGGCTCAACGTCTCTCTGTGGTCGTCTCGATGGCAGAGTGTAAAAATGCTGATTGACATCTTTTTCCGGCACATAGTACTGCTGGTTTCTTGCGTTTCGTATGTGCACGATTTGATGCTGGTCGCAGGCGTGCTGGAAATCATTGCAACTCGAAATGTTATTCTGTTCGGACAACTTGTTACTGTCGCAAAGATTCCATCGTGGATTGTGGCCGTAAACTTTCGGATGAGACTGGGCTGTCTGGCGTTCATAGTTCTGCTGATTATTATCGCACTGCGATTGTATCTTTTGCGGTATGGCCGGATCCTTCAGAATGTCCTGGACCTTTTCCTTCTGACACTCTTCGGGTTTAGGAGGTGAAATATAAGGCGGTGGTTGAACAATTCCATGAGGAGGTACGGAGTCTATCGCTAACAGGGTATTGTCTGAAACAATATGATTAATAATTACCCTTGTTTACATTTGACGCAATAAAACCTTCTTGCTCGATTACGTTCAATCACCTAACGAGATTAATTCGAACAGTTTTGCAGGCTCTAAGGAGAGTTCGTTCTCAAACTGTACAAAACGAAACACAATACATTTTTCCTCCTTGTTAGACAACTACTTATTCGATGTTATTACTGTGCAGATTGTACGTATTACTCAATCATAAATACACACGTACTACAGAAATATACGACACTACTGAAAAATATCACCGATAGTTTTTTCTCTTGTTTTAGTGCGGCTAACTATGTATACATCTCTTACGTTTCCATACCAATGCCGTATTTCCAATACCATCGATACAAACAATATTCGAATATTTTTTTTTTAATGCTTTTACCAGATGTTTCAAGACTAGAATGTAAAGCAATTTGTTAACAGCACGTCGTCAGTGAAATTAAAGCGAAACAAGCATGATACAGAAGCATCGCAAACGCAAGCAAGCAACAAAAGCACGAGCACACTACAGCTCATCGATTAATCGTGCAAGTTCGATATTGGACGCAGCTCGGTAATCTGTAGGGATTGCAGTCGAGCATCGAATGAGAAACTTTACACAATTCTGTCGGGCTAAACGGATGTTATACAGATGATAATGGAAATTCCATATCGGACTCGCACGTTTTCTGATGAAGTTAAAAACAAAGTGTACTCACCATGACATGAACTATGGTACTACGACATGTACGTGAGCTACTAGCGAGGGATGCCACACGCGTGTGTAGTGCATTTGTTTTCTTTAAAACTAGTATGCATGTGTACAGTCGACGGAAGAAATATAGTGAGATCGTGAAAATCGGTTGGGCGTGAAAGTTTATACGATCAGGTATATCGACGAGCGAATTGACAGAAATCTGAGAAGATAAAGACTCGATATCTCGGTTAGAGCTGCATGAAGTATACTTATACTTAGCTTTGTTTTAGTACTAATTGAAAACCGAAAAATGTCGCATTCGATATTTATGCTTTATTTACGACCTCGCTATATTCCTTCCATCAACTATACACAGACTAATGTGCACGAGTGTCACAAGAATCGGAAAGTGAACGAAAAAAAGACACAAAAAGGACGACAGGTATTGGACAGGGTTGGAGATAAATAGTGGCTAGAGTCTGTCCAAAATCGTATAGTCGTTCAAGGTCATAGCAAATAAAATCTGATTGTACATCATAGATGAATTTCGAAGTTTTAATCCCTTTTATCTTATTATTTCAGATTAAATATTAGATATAAAATACAAAATATAAAAAATATTAACATTTAATGTTTAAAATATTAAAAATATTTACGTTTAATATTAAAAATATTAAAAATATTTTGTATTCTATTATTGCCAGAAAATATGAATATGATTTTGGACGAACTATAGTATTTACAGTAGAGGTTTGACGCTATACGATACGATATAGGTGCAATATGAGCAAAAAGAACAAATAACAAAATGCAGCCGTGATTTCCACAAAAAATGACATCTATTCACATACATTCCTCATAAAGGTTTAACGACATCGTTCGTCGGTATGTACATTCGAATGGCAAGATGCGCTGATTGTTATCGATCGGATACAAAAAAAAGAAAAGAAGAAATATACACATTTATAAACATACAAGTGCATACGAGTATGAGATGAATCTTATACAGTAGTAACACATACGTATATACATATACGGTACAAAAAGTTTTGCATGCTCCCCTACCCAAGTTGTAAGTAGATCTCTAAATATTAGTTGCAAGCTGATTAATTCTTGCTGCAGGGAGAGAAACGTGAAAAATGTGGCGTTCAATGAGATGCTGTTTAAGGGGATACAGCACTCCGAGGCGTCTGAAAATAGGTAAAGTTTGGGAATTTTTTTCACAGGTAACTACTAAATGGAAACCTTCAATTCTTTCAGTGGATATAAATGCAACTTTTAGCTTCTTACTTCAATTTTTTAGAAGTGAAAATGCTGCAAAATGGAGGAGTTATTGCGAAACCTCTTCTACTGGAACGTCGATTGCTGGCCGCTATCGCTGGCAAGGATTGGAACGTCTGAAATAAAAAATTCTTCTAGATTTATAAATAAAAATGTATCTACAACACAGTGTAAGATTTCTCAAAAATTGTAATTATTACAGAAATGGTGGCAGTTTGAAGAGTAAAAACCTCTTCTAACCGGAAAAAAATTTAAACGTTTCTAAAAAATTAAATAATTGACATATCAAAAAAATCATAAGCTACATTGTAGATAACACATTTTTATTTACAAATTACCAAGAATTTTTTACTTCAGACGTTGCAATCCTTGTCGGCGATGGAGCAGAAAAGGTTTCACGATAACTCTTCTATTTTGTAAGATTTTTACTTTTTAAAACTTACAGAAAAAAGTTGAAAGTTGCATTTACATTTTCCGAAAAAATTGAAACTTTTTATTCGGAAGCTACTGATGAAAAAAATTTCCAAACTTTACTTATTTTTAGACGCCTCAAGGGTGGTGCACCCCCTTAATAGAACTGATAAAGATGGTGATGCACATTCACCCACCATATGAATACAAACATGATCATTGAAACGCGAATCTGTCATCGACGTCATGATTCATAATTGCTTTAAATTAATCAAGAAATGCGCTCCAGTGGCAATTGCACTCAAAATACGTCGTATCTCAAATCTTGCATTTATTTCGTTCTTTCTTGGTCTTTCGACCAATTGATGCGCGCGTAATGTTGACAATAGGTGAAAAATTGGTTGCAATGGAGAAATCCCGTATCTGAAGTTAGTCAAATGTTAGTACTAAACGCTACTTACAACAAGGGGCGAGCACGCATCGAGCTAACATGCGATACGGATAGTCGAGGCAACACTTATGTCTTCACCACATGCCGAAACTTCAATTCAATTGCTATCATTTCTCTTTCCGCCTAATTTTCTATAACTACTACATTTTACTATGTGTAATTCACAGGCAGCGCTAATAACGACACGAGCTACGTGCCACAAAAAGGAGTTGTTAAATATGAACAGAAGAAATATAGTATGTTTTCGTATATATATATATGTAGCTATATTACAATGACGATATATATATACTTTTTTTTTTACGACATTTGTAAAGTTAGACACATCAGAGAGAAGTGTAATATATGATAATTAAAATTAAATTGAACCTCGGGGATGGGGGAGAAATCGTAGGCTTAAAGCGACGAACGCGATACAATTTTGTAATTTATAGACGAAACCTCTTTTCGCAACGATTGATCAACGATTTTTCATGTGTTTTCCCTTCTTCTATCTTTGTCACCGATCCAATTATCTGCTGTTCTCTTTGTTCTCCACTGTCTCGGCCAATAGCGAAGAAACAGGAAAGAAGAAAGATAAAAAGAGCGGTCGATCCGTTGTTTATGACGAACGGAGTTTCTTATAAGAGCGTATCTGTGACCAGTTCCCTCTTTTTTATTAATCTTCGCATACATTTATATCGTTCCTGTGCATGTACGCGACGCAGAATAATACTCGGCAATCAATTCTCGTTTACGATTGATTAATAAGAATGAACAAGCGTCCGCATTTCTGGCAATTCAATTTGCTAACATTTCTAACGACAAATTATTCTACCATCTTGAAGCGATCAATTTTTTACGTTCATAGTACAAGTTTCTGTAAGTTAATACGTTCTCGCTGTTGGAAAAAATGAAAAGAGAAAATACGAACAGCATATACAGCGGCGTTCATAAGTATTAGCACACATTATGTTCGTAGAGAAAGTATTGTATGATTGAAATTACATTTCTTCGACAAAGTTGGTATCGTGTGTCGGTAAAAATGTACAGGGTGTTCACGCTATTAGTTTTCAACGTTTTTCTCGTAAGTGGTGGATTTATGAAGATAATAGACAATGGTGACTTGAATAGATTTTTCAAATTTGCATATTTCGCGAGTGACGTGAATTTTTTTAAATTGATAGCTATAATTTTATTTAATGTTATATATCAAACTCAATTTCGTGACAATGCTTGGTGTGACATGATCAATGACACTGTTAGGATTTTATTTTTATGACGATACCTTAAATGGAAATAGATATTCAGAAATTTTATCGCGTGTAACTATAATACTATGAAATGCCTGACTGACTTATTTCTTTCAAGATTTTAATAACTTTGTAATTACTGTTCATGTTTGCTACATATTCAGTAAGTGTCCTAATACTTATGGACGAGAGTGTATGTGTATATACAATCAGTCAAAATAGTCTCATTAGAATTTATTTAGTATCGTACAATTTACACAGAAGAAACAGTAAATAAAGAATATTTACGTTATTTTATTTAGGAACGTGATATTTACTATTGGTATAAAGAAAAATAATTTACATTCGTTTGCTAAGTATTAAACTAAGGAAAAAGAATAATGTAACACAAATCAAATTTCGGTACAGTATCTAAGAATTCAGCAAAATGTCTAGAAACGAGGCTTAAAAGTTAATTTTGTGCTTATAAGCAAGTAGAAAAGACGTTAATCAAATATCTGTTTATTATTTAATTATTACCAAATGAATGTCAATTATTTTTCTTTGTACTAACAGTAAATTTTATGTTTCTAAATAAAGTACGTTCTCTGTAAAAATTATACAACGCGGAATTTTTTCATTGAGTGTACGTACACATGCGAGAAAAAAAAGTGTATAGTAACCTAATCTAGTCTGTCTAACACAAAGTGGGCAATGGCCGCAAACTCCAGCTGGTATCGATATATTCCGCATGATTTCCTATCATTTCTTTTTTATTCTCCTATTAAATTTCGATCTTCTTTCTGAATTTCTTTTCCGACAGAATTTTGCTTTCAAACGTGTAGCACCTTCGAATAGTGAGAAATGGTAACAGTACAATGATAAACATAGCAGCCCAAGGACGTTCTTTATTTTTAAATTAAGAATCCATCGTTTATTCTTGTTACC